GGACCAAGGCATTGACGTCTCCGGCCCATTGTTTGTTCGGATATCAGCCAGCAAGCCAATCCCTTAAATCAAGAAACAACTTCCTAAGATCTACAGAGATACTCACAGGAACACCTCCGCAAGTGAGAGTCCAAAAGTTGCAGGTTAAAATCCGGAACCTCAATCAGTGGCTGATACCGGATGAGAGACCCCCCCCCCCCCCGGGTGACTTTGAAGGCACTGAACAGACTGAGTTCTGGTACTGCAAGATGCAAAGCCAACCTTAGGAAATGGGGCCTCAAAGTGGAGTCTGCAACATGCAAGTACGACAGAGGCACTTAAAGTGGCTAGCTTCTGGTCAAAGGAAATATAACATAATGGCAAGTTTTTAACTTCGTTTGTGGTTTTTTTATACATTATAAATGTATTCTCGTTATTCATTATTATGGCGCTTCATGGAGTCATGCTGGCCACATGACCTTGGAGGTGTCTATGAACAACGCCAGCTCTTCAGCTTAGAAATGGAGATGAACACCACCCCCCAGTATTGGACACAACTTAATGTCAGGGAGAACCTTTACTCAATTTGCTTCTGACACGATAAACAAACTGATGGAAGTAACTATAAAGTTATGTCAGAGGACACAGCAAATACCATTGTGTCATGTTAGAGAACATAGCATCTTACTTTTTAGGAATTTTCTAGGTCCTCTGGGACAACTCTATGGCAACCTTTGACCAAAGCCGTTCATTTCAATGGCCATGGTTCCAGTTGCCTTGTGATGCAGGGTCCACCCTGTATTTCCTAACGCATCCTGCTTACCCCCCAAAGACATGAGGCTCTTGACCTCAAATAACCTCACCACTGCTCTAAAAACTGGGGAAGAAAGTCCAGCTCTAAGATCTGAGACTTCAGCAGTAAATCTACATCATTGACTTCAGATCGCCCTCTCCGAGTTTGCCGGTTTCACAATGGATTCGGTTCCCTTTTCTGGCCAAATTCTGCGAAGATCATCCGGCCTCCCGTTGCTTAAACCGTCATGCTTTCACAAATAAGCCTAAGACATTGTTGCTGTTTTGTAATGACATGATTTTTATTATACAAAATAAAATCCCTTGTACATAAGTTAGTTAAAACCCTACAAAAAGCATCGGTACCAAAATATATCATTTTTCAAATTGAAAAAACAAACACATGCACAGTACCATAAAGTACTAAAGATAGGGATGGAAACAGTACCAAAAACAGGTACTATTTTCAACTTTTTTAAACCCTGTGTTTAAGTAAAATAGGGTATGGACCAGTGGTTCTCAACCTGAGGGCCTCCAAGGGTTTGGCCTACAACTCCCAGAAATCTCAGCCAGTTTACCAGCTGTTAGGATTTCTGGGAGTTGAAGGTCAAAACATCTGGGGAGCCAGGGCGCTTCCAGACAGCATCAAATCACAAGTTTTAAACAGGGGCAAAAAATCCCAGGACTCCAGAAGAGCTCCACATAAAGGCCTGTTGGTCCTGGGATTTCTGCCTCCATTGTCCAGACTTGATGCTTTGTTGCGAGATTTAGAGGCTCCCAAGATGGTCACCGCGGGATTTCCGCCGGAAGATGTGGATATGCGGAGAATCACTGCAGTGAATTACTCCAAAAGTTCTATCCTTTGTCCTGGCCAGAAAAACTGTGCCCTCCAGATGTTTCATGAAGTATCTGCCACACACAAAAAAGTTTATGGGGTAGTACCACTTCTACCCAAGTCAACATTACATAATCACAGAGGAAAACACGCTTTCAAGCCAGGAACGAAACTTTGACATTATTGTCACTTTTTAGAGCCTGGCTGCCAGGCCATCTGTCCAGACAGATTTGGTTGTGTTGTTGTAGGTTTTTTTTTGATATATGACCATGTTCTAGAAGCATTCTCTTCTGATGTTTTACCTGCATCTATTGAAAGCATCCTCAGAGGAAAGCATCCTCTGAGGATGCCTGCCATAGATGCAGGCAAAACGCCAGGAGAGAATGCTTCTAGAATACAGCAATATAGCCCAAAAAACCTACAACAACCCAGTGATTCCGGCCTTGAAAGCCTTCAACAATAGATTTGGTTGTGTACTTGTGGCATCAAACAACAGGTTCCTGGATTACACATGGCTGTTCCTGATTGCTCTTCTTGTGAAAAGATGTACAGTAATGACTAGGGCGGCACAATTTTGTCCTGTCCAGAGAAGCTGTGCTCCCCACATTTTTCATGAAGTTTCTGGCACACAAACAAAGTTTTTGCCTTCTACTCAAGTGTCACCTTCTTTTCAGGAGTCAACCAATCAGGAACAAACATCTAAAACCTGGGAACAAACCCAGATTTTAAAAAATCCACTGATTTCCAATTGCAGGGACATCCAGACATTCGAAGATGTGGATATTCGGGTCAAAACCACAATATTCCTGCACCTGGAAATCTCGTCTTTTTCTTTCTTTCTTTCTTTCTTTCTTTCTTTCTTTCTTTCTTTCTTTCTTTCTTTTGTAGCAATTGCTTCCGCGTTTACAGGGAACGGCATCTGGCCACCCTCCTGTTTGCTGCGGAAGCTCCTGGGATAAAGATACTATCTGGACAGGCCCGCACAGGTTGAGAACCACTGGTATGGACGATACAAGGCATGGGCAAACATTGGCCCATGCCTAGGCGATACAGAAAGGAGTAGTCTAAAGAAAAAGTGAGAAAGGGTAAATTAAAGAGGAAGAGGTTGAATAAGAAAAAGAAAGGGCGGAAGGGAGGAGAGAGGATAAGAAATGATTCCGATGAGCAAAGTAGGGTTTTATAAAAGAGGAAATAAAAAAGATGTCCACTCAGACTTTCAGAGGTCAGCCTGTTCCAGGAAATTCATAATTTCTGTATCTTTCCTGGAAGCTTCTTCTTCTGCCTGGCAGTTCTTCTAAAATGTTCTCCAAACTCCAGAGCATTGCAGAACATCCGAAACACAGAATAAATTACATTCCACTGTCCCACATTAAATAGCATATAAATAACCCATGTAAACGTCTCTATGACATAAATTATTATTATTATTATTATTATTATTATTATTATTATTCCCTTTTTCCGAAAAGACTCCCAGAGCAGCCTATAAAGAGCAAGAAAAGCATCCCTGTCCCAGATTTACAATCTTAAAGGTACGGCATCAAACAAAAAAGGGGGGATGATGAGGGAAAAGGAAGAACGCAAACCCAGGCGTCAATTGTCAACGTTGGATTGTTGGTAAAGGAACTGTCCCAGAAGTAATGAAATGGTCAGTTGATAGATGATGGAGGGGAAATCAGGCCATTGTCCACTCTGCCAGTGCACAGAGGTGGATTTTGAGCAGCATTCAAGGTATCCCTGCTTCCCTACTTACTCTCTTTAAGTCTAATGCAGGCATGGGCAAACTTTGGCCCTCCAGGTGTTTTGGACTTCCACAATTCCTAACAGACTCAGGCCTCTTCCTTTTTTTCCTTAAGCAGCTGAAGGGGGAAAGGAAAGGGCCTGAGGCTATTAGGGATTGTGGGAGTTGGAGTCCAAAAAACCTGGAGGGCCCAAGTTAGCCCATGCCTGGTCTAATGGTACAGCTATCAGTCTATCAGTGCTCGGATGCAACCAAATAATTAAAAAATACACCCATAAGTGCTGTCTGTGTAACCTTTGTAAAGGAGGGGTCAACATAATGCAGCCAATGGAATCCTGGGATTTGTAGTTTGTTGCAGCGCCAGCACTATTTGAAAGAGAAGGCGAAAGACCTTGGAAAACTGCAACTCCCATGATACCATAGCATTGAGCTGTGTCACCTGGACTTTAACTGCATTGAGTTGTGTCACCATGGACTTTAACTCAACAATATGGAATTGTAGGGATTGTACTTTGTTGCGGCATTAACAACCATTAGGGAAGACTAAAGACCTTGTAAAACTACAACTCCCATGATACCATAGCATCAAGCTGTGTCACCCTAGGCTTTAAGTGCATTGCATTCTGTCATTTAACTGCATTGCATTCTGTCAATGATATGGAATTGTAGGAATTGTAGTTTGTTGCGGCATCAACAGGCATTAGAGAAGACTAAAGACCTTGTTAAACTACAACTCCCATGATACCACAGTATTGAGCAGTGCCACTATAGACATTAACTCAATGATATGGAATCATAGGAATTGTAGTTTGTTGCAGCATCAACAGCCATTAGAGAAGACTAAAGACCTTGTAAAACTACAACTCCTATGATACCACAACATTGAGCAGTGTCACCCTGGTCTTTAACTGTATTGAGTTGTGTCACCCTAAACTGTAACTCAATGATACAGAATCGTAGGGATTGCAGTTTGTTGTAGCATCAACGGTCTTTAGAGAAGACTAAAACCGCAACTCCCATGATACCATAGCATTGAGCTGTGTGACCATGGACCTTAACTCATGGGAGTTGTAGTTTGGCGAAGCACCAAAACCCTTTGACAAAGAAGGTTGATATCACAAAAAACTACAAATCCCAAAATCCCACAGTATTGGGTTGTGTCAAAAAGTGTAGTTGAATACTGGCCAACCAGACATAACAGAGAACTTACATTTTCATGCAAAATTATACAGGCAAAAATAATTACAGGGTCGAATCTTGGAAAAATGCTTTTCAAATGCCCCATTTTGTACTTTCCCCCCCAAGATCCGATCCTGTGAACATTTTCACATGTATAAGTTCATGCAATTTTTCTGTATAATATTTAAATATATATTATAATACATAAATATTAAAAATAAGGTAAAAGCCAAAATGTTCCAGGATCTGGGAGATGACTTAAGACATGTAACAGATGACAAACAGGCCTGAGGCAGGTAATCAAGCCACCGGTTTCTACTGAGATCTTGTAGCACGAGAAGCGTGGAAATAAATAGGCAAATTTGCATGAAACATGTCCAATCCTGCTTCCGTCTGTCTTCGGTTCATTTCCCTGAGAGGTTTCCAGGAAGGAGCTGGGCATAAGTGCCACCCTTTTGACTCCTTGAGGAAGCGTTAACTTGGATATTTCCCTGTAAGGATGACGAAGTCCCGCAGCGTCCTCTCCACCCACTCTTTGTACCAGAAGCACACAACGTATCCCAGTTGCTTCTTCTTAAAGATGTCGTTTTCGACCAAGTTCGGCATGGGTGGGTCCCTAACAGGGACTGATGGTCCACCCAAGGTGGAAATGATGGAGGTCAAATTGCTGAGCAGGCCTTGGATGCGTCGCTGGGTCAGTTTCAGCATTTCCAGCAGTTCCCCTTCGCCAGGGTTCAAGTCAGACTGGTCATCCCAGACCACCTTCATTAACCTTGAGTAGGCACGGTAAGCTTGACGGTTCTCCTCCAGACGCTTTATGTCAGAAAGATTCCTCCATTCCAGGTAAATGCTGAAGGGCAATGGCACTTCTTTGAAGCGTGTCCTTGAATCGTTGAAACCGGGATCACTAAATGGGCTCCCTTGGTGACTTCGCTGGGAACAAAATGAGAAAATGAGGGCACAGTTAGAAAGTCCTGTTGCAGCTCATAAAGGACCAAGGCATTGACATCTCCAGCCCATCCTCTGTTCAGATACTAGCCAGCATGCCAATATCTTAAATCAAGTTATAGTTTTCTAAGATCTATAGCAGTGTTTCTCAAATTTCCTAATGTTGAGACTCCTTAATACAGTTCTTCATGTTGTGGTGACCCCCGGTCACAAAATTATTTTTGTTCCTACTCCATAACTGGAATTTTGCTACTGTTTGAATCATAAATATCTGATATAGAGGATGCATTTTCATTCAGTTGTCCAAATTTGGCCCAACTACCCGATATGCCCAAATTTGAATACTGGTGGAGTTGGAGAGGAGACTGATTTTGTAATTTGTGAGTATAGTTGCTGGGATTTATAGTTCACCTACAATCAAAAGTATTCTGAACTCCACCAACAATAGAAGAGGGCCAAACTTCCCACAAAGAACCCTCAAGCCTTGAAGGGACTTCCTGGCATGAGTCTCCCTCCAGCCTCACACACTCTCCCTCTCCTGCACATGCGCACCACTCTGCCATTCACAAAGCATGCCTGCTCTCCCTTTGGAGTCTCAGAAACAGCCCTCCCCTTGGCTGAGAGGCTGGCCAGTCACAGCACAGGAAGACTTTTGGTGGGAGGATTTGCCATTTGTTCCCAAAAAAAAGGAAGAGAAGGACAGGCGGAGAAATCTTCAGTCTTCTCTGCCATAGGGGTTCCTAAGACCATCAGAAATATATGTTTTCTGATGGTCTTTGGTGACCCCTCTGAAACCCCCTTGGTGGAATTGAACCAAACATGGTACACAGAACTCCCATGGCCAACAGAAAATACTGGAAGGGTTTGGTGAGCATTGATCTTGAGTTTTGGAGTTGTAGTTCACCTACATCCAGAGAGCACCGTGGACTCAAACAATAATAGATCTGGACCAACTTGGCACAATTACTCAATATATCCAATATAACAGTGGGAGCTCATCCCGCTCCTGGGATTCGAACCAGCAACCTTTTGGTCAGCAAGTTCAGTAGCTCAGCAGTTTAACGCACTGTGCTACCAGGCTCCTTTGCTTTACTAGCCTCCTCCTACGAAACTATACATTTTAATTCACCCTCTTTCCCTCCCCAACCAAAAAGTCTCCTGACCCTGATTTAATCCTTCATAATAATAATAAAACACATCTAAGGAAGTAGATTACATCTTCTGGTGATGCCACTTATGCATGCCTACATAAGCTATGTCTGTCAACATCCTGTTCAGGCGAAAGCGAAGCATTTGTCATGCAAATGAGCTTTCTGGCCACCCTTAGCTTCCCATTCCCGTTGCAAACCTGAATTAAAGCCAAAGCTGCTCTTTAAACCTCAGGTGTACTGGCTCCCTGGGAAGAAGGGTTGGGCTGGGCAGGAACAGGCAACTTGCCTACTCTCCTTGAGGGCATGGCTATCCTCCAACCACAAGATCATCCGATCCTAGGAAATGCAGGACTCAGATCTGTCTTGTGCAAAGAAACTAGCTATTGCTGGTTCAGGATCGTCCCAAGCTCGGAAGTTTCTGGGCTGAAACCCGAAACTTTGAAGGAGCCACATGATGTTAATAAGCAGAAATTCTATCTAAAGAAACTATTCCCAGACCAAGGTGAAAAGAAATGTTTATTCATCTTCTAAAGAAGCATTGGAAAACTTAGTAGAAGACAAGTGTTCTAACAGGTATTCTGCTTGAGGAACTGATTGCTTCTAGATCTAGAAGATTGATGGAAAGTAGAGCAGAGGGCGAGACCTGACACAGCAACATTTGGGAAGGAAGGAAGATGCTAACTAATTAAATAGAGAGGCCTTTTGGAGGATCCTTGATTGTTGCAGCAGGGAAAAAAATCACTAAGTAAATTGCTGCTCTGTTATGTGAGCTCTGAAAGAGATTTGCTCCCAGACCTTTCCTTCTACTCAAAGTTGAGACCACCCCAAACTGGAAAATTTGAATCCTCATCTCCCACAAAAAGCAGGAAATTTAAGGTTAGGCTGTGAGATCTGGCAACTCTCTGATAGTTTGAAACCAAGGGTGCAAATACACTTTGAAATGAATGCAGTTTGACCCCACTTGAACTGCCATGGTTCAATGCTATCAAATTCTGGGAGTTGTAGTTTAATGAAGCACCAGCAATCTTTGACAGAGAACAGTATGTAAAACTGCAACTCCCAGTGATCCATAGTTCCTCCTGCCTATGTCATTGGTTGGGAGCCCCCGCGCCCTCCCCGGCACCAACTACTTCTCTGGTCCAGAGTGAAGAGAGAGGGGGTCAGAAGACAGTTCCATCTTGTCTCCTGTGCTTTACTAAGAATATAATATAATATATTGTATATACATATAATATTATAATGTAATACAATATAATAATAATACAATATTATAATTATATGTTTTATATCACATGTAATATTACTAATAATATTACAATATAATGGCATAGTACAATATAGTAATATATAATACTGATATTGTACTATGCTAATAATATAATAAATTGTATGTTTATATATCTTGTAAGCCACTCTGAGTCCCCTTCAGGGTGAGAAGGGCGGCATAGAAATGTCGTAAATAAATAAATATACCATGGCAGTTGAAGTGCTCCCAAACTGCATTCATTCCACAGTCTAGATGCACCCCAAGGAAGCCATATCCCAAGGTACTAAAGAGAGCTCCAAGGCTGGTGTCTGAAATAGGAGCTGTGCTATGTGTTGTTGAAGGCTTTCAGGGCCAGAATCATTGGGTTGCTGTGAGTTTTCCGGGCTGTATGGCCATGTCCCAGAAGCATTCTCTGCCATAGATGTGAGTAAAACATCAGGAGAGACTGCTTCTGGAACATGGTCATACAGCCTGGAAAACTCACAGCAACCCAGTGATTCTGGCCATGAAAGCATTCGACATTAGATAGGAGTGCTTTGAGTTTCGAACCAGGATTTTAGGAGACTAAGGTTTGAATCCCCTCTCAGGCATGGAAAACCCATTGGGTGATCTTGGGCAAGTCACTCTCTCTCAGCCTTTGCAATGCCTTTGTCCACTAAGCCATCAACAGAAAACAAGATGGAAAGGTGGCCCATAAATTCACTGCTATACTTGTTCTATGGCTTTTTAACATTGGCAAAAGAGGTGAGAACTTTGGGAGAGGAGCAAGCTTATTTTCCACTGCTCTAGAGCAGGGGTCCTCAAACTAAGGCCCAGGGGCCGGACACGGCCCTCTAAGGTCATTTACCCAGTCCTCGCTCAGGTAAGTCTGAAGCGACTTGAAGGCACACAACAACAACAACAAGAACAACAACAACAATCCTATCTCATCACCCAAAAGCAGGCCCACACTTCCCTCTGAAATACTAATAAGTTTATATTTGTTAATATTGTTCATTTTAATTATTGTATTGTTGTTAAGTGTTTTTTGCACTACAAATAAGATATGTGCAGTGTGCATAGGAATTCATTCATGTTTTTTTTTCAATTATAATCCGGCCCTCCAATAGTTTGAGGAACTGTGACCTGGCCCTCTGTTTAAAAAGTTTGAGGACCCCTGACCTAGAGACTAGGACACAGAGCAATGAATTCACATTGCAGGAAAAGAGTTTCCACCTGAACTTTAGGAAGAATGTTTAGATGGTTAGAACTGTTCAGTTGTGGAATATGCTTCTATGGAGTGTGGTGGAGTCTCCTTTTCTGTAGATTTTCAAGCAGAATCTGGATGGCCATCTGGCAGGAGTGTTTGGACAGAGTATTCCTGCATGGCAGGGGGTTGGACTGGATGGCCCTCGCGGTCTCTCCCAACTCTACAATTCTATCATCCCTTTCCAAAGTGGCCTTCAGCCCTTTCGCCTGCATTCTGATCTTGCCGACACAGTGGCAGGGTGCCCAAGTATTCCCCACCGTCCGCTTCCCGGCACATGCCCGGGCTTAAGATGCCAGAGGCCGTGAGGTCATTACAACCCGGAGGCTTTGGCCCGCTGGTATGCAGCCCGCAGTGTCCACGTAAAAGAGAAAGTCACGCTGGAGGAACTACGGTTGGTCAGACTGAGAAACAACAAGAGGCTTGTTTCTCCAGACTGAGGAATCCCACAGAAGGCTGGGACTGGTGGGTGGGTGACGCTCTCCCAGATTTCTGAGAGGTGACAAAGGAGGCAATTCACGCTTGGCAGACCCCCTGGAGCCTATGAGCCACCGAGGCTTTCCCATTCTCTTTCACCCCCAGCGCCGCCCGTCCTCCCTTTGAGGCTTTGAATACATTTCTCACCTTTGTTTCCTCAGTGTGTGGGTGTCTTTGGCAAAGGCTGAACAGAGATAGTTTTTCCATGGCCTGGAGGCATAAAGGAAGCCAGGAGGGTTGGGATTTTGAAAGACTTAATTATTTCAAAAGGGAGAAAGTTCACCAGGTCCAAGGAGGATCACCGTTTCAGTGTACCACTTTAACTGTCATGGCTGAATGCTGTGGAACCACGGGAGTTGTGGTCTCTACATGTTCTTTAGCTTAATCTGCCAAACAGGGCTGGTGTCTCGCCAAAATAACAATTCCTATGATCTCAGAGCACTAAGCCATGACAATTAAAGTGGTGTCAAAATGAATTAAATCTACAGTGTAGATCAGGCATGGGCAAACTTTAGCTCTCCAGGTGTTTTGGACTTCAACTCCCATCATTCCTAACAGCCTCAGGCCCCTTCCTTTTCCCCCTCAGCCGCTTAAGCGTGGATTCCACTTTGTGGCCCCATTCCTGAAGATTGGCTCTGCATCTCATGGTGCCAGTCTGTTCAGTGCCTTCCAAGTTGCCCACTCTTCTGTGGGCCCAGGGGGGAGTTTCTCCTCTGGTATCAGCCACTGATTGAGGTTCCACGTTTTAACCTGTTCCTTTTGGACTCTCGCTTGCTGAGGTGTTCCTGCAAGTGTCTCTGCAGAACAGCATTTCTCAACCTGGGGCTCAGGACCCCTGTGAGGATCACGAGGGGAGTGTCAGAGGGGTCAATGAAGACCATGAGAAAACATAGTATTTTCTGTTGGTCATGGGGGTTCTGTGTGGGAAGTTTGGCCCAATCCTATCATTGGTGGAGTTCGGAATGCTCTTTGATAGAAGATGAGTTATAAATCCCAACAACTACAATTCACAAATGTCAAGGTCTGTTTTCCTGAAAACATAAACTGTGAGTAGATCAATAGGTACTGCTCCAAAGGGAAGGTAATGGTGCTCCATGCAGTCATGCTGGCCACATGACCTTGGAGGTGTCAATGGACAACTCCGGCTCTTCGGTTTAGAAATGGAGATGAGCACCATCCCCCAAAGTCAGGGGTTCCCAAATTCCCAAATGGAGATGAGCACCAACCCCAGAGTTGGGGGTTCCCAAATTCTTAACAATTTGGGAACCTCAGCATATGAAGTCCAGCTCCATTCTAGTAATGTCTACTCTAGAGTAAACCATAAGCCAGAAACATAGCTCAGGTCCATGAAGGCCCAGAACTAGATGAAAGGCCCTCCTTCCATACCAACTGCCATTGCCCTGGTTATGGAGGAAGAGAAGAAGGGGCAGCCTTAGCTCCATTTTGCTTAGTTCCAGAAGCAGATGAAAAGTTTTCCATCCCAACTACCACTGCCCTGATTATAGGTACAGATTATATATCCAACTCAAGCCCAGAAGCAGATTAAAAGCCCTCTCTCCCTTCTAACTACCACTGCCCTGGCCTCAGAAAGAGAGAAGGGTCAGGCACAGCTCCATCATAGTAGAGGTAAAGGTTTCCCCAGACATTAAGTCCAGTCGTGTCCAACTGTGGTTGGTGGTACTCATTTCCATTTCTAAGCCAAAGAGCTGGCGTTGTCCATAGATGCCTGCAAGGTCATGTGGCCAGCATGACTGCATGGAGCACCATTGCCTTCCCGCAGAAGTAGTATCTATTGATCTACTCACATTTGTATGTTTTCAAACTGTTATGTTGGCAGAAGCTGGGCCTAATAGCGAGTGCTCTCTGGATTCGAACCGCTAACCTTTTAGTTAGCAAGTTCAGCAGCTCAGTGGTTTAACCCACTACACCACAAGGGCGCCCTTAGCACTGTCATATTTAAGGCCAAAAGAAGACAAAAGACTTCCACCCCAACTGCCACTGCCTTGGCCCCATAAGTAGAAAAGAAATGAAGGCAGTGGCTGGTGAAGGACACAGAAACTAGAGTTCCAAATTCCACAGAATTCTTCAGAGTGTAAAAACGTGCTTCCAGTGGTTAGTCAATGGCTTGGCAAACCTGTTCCGGGTTTTAGTCTAACCTCTAAAGGTCCTGTTTTAGTTAGGCTGAAGTCTTTTAAAGAACAGAACTCAACCTCTTGGATGCTTCTTTAACACTCACTCCAAAACCCAGAATAAATTACCCAGTCTACTGCAATGCAAGTTCTGACTAAAAACCGGAATGGACTTTCCACCCTTCTCACCAATATGCATCCTGGTTGGTGCAAAATTTGCATTTGGCAGAGAATGTGAAATTTTAAAATGTTTTTATTAAAGGCTGAAACCTGGTAATTTTTCATGTTTTTCTTCCAGCCATTTTTCGCTTATCTTTTTTGAGAATGCAATTCTTAAGACGACACTAGTATTGAAGACATAATCTCAAAGACGGCCAACCGTCTCCTTCCAGGGACAGGCACGCTGTCTTTCGTAGAAATGTGGGCACGGAAGAGCTTTCCAAGAAACCACATAATTTCTAAGAATTTGGTTTTGCAATTGTTGGTTCGAAGTATAATAATCAGCCCTGTCTATAACCCCAAATTTAAGAAGGCAAAAAATTCTTACATAGGTGTTGAGAAGGACGGTGGTGTTTTCTTTCATGTATTGGACCAGTTGGTAGGTCCGGCTAATGAGGTTGTTGACAGAAAGCTCAGGATCAGAAGAAGCAATGTGGACGAAGACAGCCGAAATTACAAAGAGTCTGCTGGCTAAAAAGAAACAAAAGAGAGAATCTTGAATATTAACTCCCAGTTGTGGGGAAGGCCTTAATAATAATAATAATAATAATAATAATAATAATAATAATAATAATAATAATATATTGTTGAAGGCTTTGCTTCTCCTAATAAGACTTGGTTTCCATACTTCTGATCCTTTTGGTTGCCCTTCTCAGTACATGTTCCAACATGCCCATATCTTTCTTGAACTGTGGTGCCCAAAAGTGACAGAGTATTCCATGTGAAGTCTAACCAAAGTAGAATAGAGTGGGACTATGACTCCCCCAGTTTAGACCAGTGGTTCTCAACCTTCCTAATGCCATGACCCCTTAATACAGCCCCTCATGTTGTGGTGACCCTCAACCATAAAATTGCTTTTGTTGCTACTTCATCACTGTAATTTTGCTACTGTTGGGAATCATAATGTAAATATCGGATATGCAGGATGTATTTTCATTCACTGGACCAAATTTGGCACAAATACCCGATACACCCAAATTTGAATACTGGTGGGGTTGGGGGATTAATTTTGTCATTTGGTAGTTGTAGTTGCTGGGATTTATAGTTAACCTACAATTAAAGCGATTCTGAACTCCACTAATGATGGAATTGAACTCCCATGACTCATAGAAAATACTGGAAGGATTTGGTGGGCATTGACCTTGAGTTTTAGAGTTGTAGTTCACCTACATTCAGACAACACTATGGACTCAAACAATGACATATCTGGACCAAACCTGGCACATATACTCAATATGTCAAAATGTGAAAACTTGTGGAATTTGGGGGAAAACAGACCTTGACATTGCTGGGATTTATAGTTGACCTACAATCAAAGAGCATGCCAATGATAGAATTGGGCCAAACTTCCCACAAAGAAACCCAATGACCAACAGAAAGTACTGTATTTTCTGATGGTCTTTGGTGGCCCCTCTGATACCCCCTCGCGACCCCCCAGGGGTCCTGACCCCCAGGTTGAGAAACACTGTACTCCTATTTAGACACGGTACTCCTATTGACGTAGCCTAGAAACACATTGGCTTTTTTTAGCAGAGAATTTAGGGGGCTATAATGCCACATTAGTTCTCACTATTGCAACCTCTCCAACAGCCTTGGGATTGCCATCATACTAGAGGGGATGGAGAATCTATCATAGTAATAATAATAATAAACTTTATATATAGACTGCCCTATCTCCCTGAAGGAGCTCAGGGCGGTTTCCAACAAATATGGCAAACATTCAATGCCCAAAGAAAGAGCATACAAACAGTTTACATCAGAACAAAACACATTAGACAATAGAAAACAACATAATAATTAAAATAGCAAAGTATTATAGGTTTTAGTCCAGACTTCATGGAGCTATCCAAAGTACTGTACCTTTAATAGGGTTCAGCACCATGGAGAGTTCAGGCTAAACCCCAAAGCAAACCCACTTTACACAGAAGCAACCATCCACTGCTGTGAGTAGCGGCAAGTTCTAAATATGATTAAATATATATGTCGTCAGTTATTCTATGTAGCTTTCTACCATGCACAAAGAAAGTGCCATTTCAAAATGCCTCTGAATTTCCCTGGCACTAATACGCAAAGTAACAACTGACAAGCAAACCTGCCTCAGAGCATATCTAGTATAGGTTGAGCATCCCTTATCTGTTTTTTCAAACCCCAAACATTCCAAAATCTAAAATGCGTGGCTGAGATCATGATATTTTTGTTTTCTGATTATTCAACATATACAAATTTTAGTTCATGCACAACATTTTCAAAAAAAAAAACCTTCAGGCTATGAAGGGGTATAGACCTGGGTCCCATCTCCAAAATATATCACTATGTACATACATGCAAATACATGTATTCTAAAATCTGGGAAAAAATCCAAATAATTTCTGGTCCTAAGCATTTTGGATAAAGGATATTGAATCTATTGTCGAAGGCATTCATGGCCAGAATCACTGAGTTGTGAGTTTTCCGGGCTGTATGGCCATGTTCCAGAAGCATTCTCTCCTGATGTTTCAGCTGCATCTATGGCAGGCATCCTCAGAGGTTGTGAGGTCTGTTGGAAACTAGGAAAATGGGGTTTATATATCTGTGGAATGTCCAGGGTGGGAGAAAGAACTCTTGCGTGTGTGGGGTAGGTGGCCAATTGCAACATTCACACTTGCCTACAACAGGTAAGAGTTCGTTCTCCCACCCTGGACCTTCTACAGATATATAAACCCCACTTCCCTAGTTTCCAACAGACCGCACAACTCTGAGGATGCCTACCATAGATGCAGGCGAAATGTCAGAAGAGAATGCTTCTGGAACATGGATATACAGCTCGGAAAACTCACAACAACCCAGATATTAAATCTATAGAACAGCCAAATTCCTGCTAAGTCATGAATTTTCTCCGGTGACTCATGTGCCATTCCCATTTCTCAGCCCAACCAGCCTCACAGGGTTGTTGTGAGAACAATTATAGGCTGATGTTTTTGAGAGGGAGAAATCATCAAAAAATAAACTAAAGGAACATGGATAATGTTAGTATCTATCCATAATAGGCAGCTGAATAATAACATTTCCCAAAAGCTTGTCACTATCTCCTCCCAAAACACCAAACATCCAGCCATATGCCTTAGAGAAAAAGTTACACTTACCCAAAGAAAGACTCATGGCTACTGGAGTTGAAAATCTGGGTGAAGTTTAGAAACTTTGGTTTGGGGTCCCTTTTGTCACCCCCTAATGACTGAAGGAGGTATTTCTGCTCCTATTTGGATGCTGTTGGAGATTCTTGGTAATTTGTCTCTGTCGCCCCCAAATGGAGGTAGTTGGGATGGTGGCCCCTGGTCCTCTTCTGCCTGGATCTCTCTCTGGCCATAAAGGGCTGCTTCCCAGCAGTCCCTCCTTCTGCCCTGAGCCTCTTGGTGCTGCTGCTCTGACTGTCCCAGGAACCCCACTGACCCGGCCCTTTATAGGCAGCTGAGGTATTAAACCCATCTTCTGTCATTCCCAGCCTTCCTCCCCTCCCCTCTGTGGCAAACACCTCCTCCCAAAAAAGGGGAAGTGAGGGGGAAAGGGGAAAAAAATCATAGGACCATTTCCTGGACTCTGTTGTTCCTAAGAAGAAGAAGAGAGGAAAAAAAAAACTGGGGGGAGCAAAAAAGAGAAGGAGATGCAAGGGAAGGCGGGGAGAGGTGGGGCCGATTGTGAAATGTGCTTAATTTCCTGAATAGGGGAAAGGAGAAAAGAAAAGACACAGGAGGAGGAGGAGGAGGGCTGAAAAGCACATGAGACAAGAGGGCATTTCCTTTCTCAATTGCACAGAGTTGTCAAACAGCCAGGATGATGCTGGTCTCACCAGGAGAATGATGTTCTGTCTGGTGAAGACCAAAGGTTGCCAGCTGAAACACCAAAGAGGGCTTCTGTACTTTTCAGACTTATGTAGAAGAGGAAATTTTAGCCAATTTTTGTTGAGTACTTATCACAAGGAACAGTAAGTGAACTTCCTTAATTTACACAACCATTCAAATTTTCAGTCTGGCAACCTTAGGAATCCCACCAAACGGAACATCATTTTACCAGTGGGACTAGCTATATATTTGGCTATTTGGCAATTTAGAAAAACAACCATTAGCAAAGTATAGGGCAGCATTTCTCAACCTGGGGGTCAGGACCCCTAGGGGAGGGGTCACGAGGGGGTGTCAGAGGGATCACCAAAGGCCATCGGAAAATACAGTATTTTCTGTTGGTCGTGGGGATTCTGTGTGGGAAGTTTGGTTCAATTCCATCGTTGGTGGGGTTCAGAATGCTCTTTGATTGTAGGTGAACTATAAATCCCAGCAACTACAACTCCAAAGTGTCCAGGTCTATTTTCTCAAAAATCCACCACTGTTCACATTTGGGCATATTGAGTATCCAAGCCAAGTTTGGTCCTGATCCACCATTGTTTGCGTCAACCGTGCTCTCTGGATGTAGGTGAACTACAATTCCAAAACTCATGATCAATGCCCACCAAACCCTTTCAGTATTTTCTGTTGGTCATGGGAGTTCTGTGTGCCAAGTTTGGTTCAATTCCATCGTTGGTGGGGTTCAGAATGTGCTTTGATTGTAGATGAACTATAAATCCCAGCAACCATAACTCCCAAATATCAAGGTCTATTTTCCCCAACTCCACAACTGTTCACATTTGGGCATATTGAGTATCCAAACCAAGTTTAGTCCTGATCCATCATTTTTTGTGTCCACTGTGCTCTCTGGATGTAGGTGAACTACAATTCCAAAACTCATGATCAATGCCCACCAAACCCTTTCAGTATTTTCTGTTGGTCATGGGAGTTCTGTGTGCCAAGTTTGGTTCAATTCCATCATTGGTGGAGTGCAGAATGCTCTTTGATTGTAGGTGAACTATAAATCCCAGCAACTACAACTCCCAAATGACAAAATCAACCCTCCCCCCAAACCCACCAGTATTCAAATTTGAGTGTATCGTGTATTTGTGCCACATTTTGTCCAGTGAATTAAAATACATCCTGCATATCAAATATTTACATTACAATTCCTAATTACAAAATTAAAGTTATGAAGTAGCAACAAAAATAATTTTATGGTTGGGGCTCTCCACAACATGAGGAACTGTATCAAGGGGTCATGGCATTAGGAAAGTTGAGAAACACTGGTCTAGGGGAAGGAATACTACAACCCCCACCATGTCTGGCTATAGGGATTCTGGGAACTGTAGCCCCAAAAGTCTACTCTCCTTGCTATGGTGCCCTGACAAAGATATGCCCTTGGACCTGTGTAGGTGGACACGTTAATGTCCCATGTATTGTAGCAACTCCTTCTCTCTAAGCCACAATCGACTTTTGGCCCAGCAAGTAGTTTTGAGAGAGGCCTGAAAAGAGAGATACGGAAAGGACAAGGGGATTGCTAGGCAACTAAGGGGAGGAAATGCCTTTGGTCTCCATGCAGTAGTCAGAGATAAAGAATAAGAAGGGAGCCAAATCAGAGAGGTGTGGAACAAGCTCAAAGTCAGGTCCTGTCCCATTATGATGAAACTGAGCTAATCTCTCATCTTCTTTCCTTCCTTCCTTCCTTCTTCATGAAGCACATTCCTCTACAGAATTGCTGCCCAATTTACATCCTCATTTTCCAACTACCTATGAATCTAAGCAAATAAACACAATTGACCCACTGGATTTATTTGATGCTGAGTTTCTATTTGATGGTCTTCCAAACTCATTCCAGCTCTCATTGTCTCCACTGGCAAGCTGTTCGACCAACACAATTGGCCCAAATCCAGTGAAGTGTTCCTTATGAAGGTATCTTCAGGCAGGGAGAACCTCAGACGGCTGAAAATCTGTCTGTAATGCAGCTGTTGGAACCACCGAAACCACGTCTGGAGGATCAAGCCAGAAGGAATGACAGCATGACCTTCCATTTTTATTCAGGCCATGCCAGAAGCGTCCCTTTTTTTGCCCATACACTGGTGTTACGTTGCACATTCCAGCATGACGTTTCAATGGCAGGGACGGTGCCAAAGAGCTAGACACAAGGAAGAACTGGCGTGTGTGTATAATTGCGTGCACACATAATATAGACATTACTGGACTGGCAGGGGAATATTCAGCTTTTACTACCAGGAATCAACCTTTGAGTAAGGCATCAGGAAATTGAGAGTGTGAAACAAGGATGGAGAAATAGCAGGGACTGTGGTTTATGCCACCTGCCTATAACAGGCCTCTCGGCACGTCCCGGCATCAAATTTCCGTTTGCAAACAAAGTTCTGAAGCTGAAGAAAGAGGAGCCGCGGAGAAGGAGCTGGGAAAGAGGCCAGGTCTACTGGGTCTGTTTCCAGAGAGGGAGCCTAGCGAGCAAAATTGGGCAGCCTCACTGGTCCAGCTTCTCATGGCATGGCAGGCATTTGTTGCAGGTTTCAGACTTTTCGGAAGTGGGGTTTTGTGGACTGATGCCTCTCTACATATCCCAAGGCTGTGTCGAGAAGATACGCTGCACCCTGGGGATGAACAGAAGGCATTTAGGATGACTTGAGTTGAGAATGGAAGCTTGAGCCCCCTCTTCCCTCTCCAAATTTCTAGCATTGCAGTAACTTAAAACTTCAGTTGAGTATTTAGCAATATAGTTTAAGCTTTCAATGAAAAGGGACAGGCACCTAGGGAATGTGGACAACAAAAACAGTCTCACTCACTATATAGAGGTTTAGCTTTTGCCAACCTAAGTAAACATTCTTTCTAGGAATCACAAGGTCCGCTATTGCTGTACTATGGCGGAAGTTGGCCACAGAGTCATGCTGGAGTATAGGGGTTCTTAGTCCCCTTCCACACAGCTGTATAAAATCCACACTGAACTGGATTATATAGCAGTGTGGACTCAGATAATCCAGTTCAAAGCAGATATTGTGGATTATCTATCTCAATATTCTGGGTTATATGACTGTGTGGAAGGACTCTCAGAAAGGTGATCTCCCAGATAAAGTAAAAAAAAAAACTATATCTAATTAATATTTATATTCATAATCTAGCATATATACCCTGTGTTGCCCGGGTTTGCATTTTCTTTGTGATTCATTCTTTACTTCCTCTGTTTCCCTCATACACCTTCCCCCTTTTTTTCTTTTCTTCTCTTTCTTCCTTTTCTCTTCCCTTCTTTTTCTTTCTTCCCCCCTCCCTTCATCCCTTCTTTCTCCCCTTCCTTTCTCTTCTTTCCTTTCTTTTTTTCATTCTCTCCCCCATACCTTTTCCCCTTTTCTTTCCTCCCTCAGATACTTTACCCCTTCCTTTCTTTACTTTTTTTCTCTTTCTTCCTTTCTCTTCCCTTCTTTTTCTTTCCTCCCTCCCTCCTTTCATCCCTTCTTTCTCCCTTTCCATTCTCTTCTTTCCTTTCTCTTTTTCCATTCTCTCCCCCATACCTTTTTCCCTTTCCTTTCCCTCCCTCAAACACCTTCCCCTTTTTTTCTTTACTTTTTTCTTCCTTCCTTCCTTCCTTTCTCTCCTCTTCTTTTTCTTTCTTCCCTCCCTTCATCCCTTCTTTCTCCCCTTCCTTTCTCTTTCTGCCTTTTTCTTTTTTCCTTCTCTCCCCATACCTTTTCACCTTTTTGTTCCCGCCCTCACCTTCCCCCTTTTTTCTTTACTTTTTTTCTTCCTTCCTTTCTCTTCTCTTCTTTTTCTTTCTTCCCTCCCTCCCTCCCTTCATCCCTTCTTTCTCCCCTTCCTTTCTCTTTCTGCCTTTCTCTTTTTCCTTCTCTCCCCATACCTTTTCCCCTTTTCTTTCCCTCCCTCAAACACCTTCCCCTTCTTTTCTTTACTTTTTTCTCTTCCTTCCTTTCTCTTCCCTTTTTCTTTCTTCCCTCCCTCCCTTCATCCCTCCCTTCTCCCCCTCCTTTCTCTTCCTTCCTTTCTCTTTTATCCTTCCTTCTCCATACCTTTTCCCCTTTCCCTTCCCTCCATCACTCCCTTCTTCCTCCCTTCATTCCTTCAAATCTGCTTTGCACCTTTTCCTTCCCTCTGCTCTGAGTCTGAAAGAGATGGCTTTGTTTTTTGTTTTGTTTTGTTTTAGTTCCAAACCCTGAATTATTTTAGACTGGATAAACAATCATCCTAACCTAAAACATTGGGCCCTTCTACACAGCCATATAACCCAGAATATCAAGACAGATAATCCACAATATCTATTTGAACTGGGATATCTGAGTCCGCACTACTATATAATCCAGTTCAATGTGGATGTTATACAGCTTAAGCATGCCTAGGGGGGAAGGAAAGGGCCTGAGGCTGTTAGGAATTGTGGGAGTTGAAGTCCAAAACACCATGAGGGCCAAAGTTTGCCCATGCCTGGTCTACACTGACAATATAATGCAGTTCCAAACTGAATTGTATGATAGTGTAGATCCATCCATTAGTTCTGCATCCAAGTTGACTCGACTTTTCATTGACCCACCATCATATATTTTTCCCTTAAGGATGCCATACACAGGAGTTTTCTATCAACATCTCCCTAAAAGCAGGGGGAGAGGGGGGAAAAGGAATGCATTATCTAACCAAATGTCATTGCAATTCAGTTGTGTACTTTAGCTAGAAACAA